ATCGCACCAACTGTTGTCACCTTCTCACCAAGCTGCTTGGCGATGGTCTTGTAGCCCATTCCAGCCTTGTGTAGGTCTACAATCTTGTCCCTGACATCCTTGGAGAGCTCTTTGGTCTTGGCCATGGTGGAGAGTTTGGAATCTGATTGATTGATTGCTTCTGTGGACAGGTGTCTTTTATACAGGTAACAAGCTGAGATTAGGAGCACTCCCTTTAAGCGTGTGCTCCTAATCTCAGCTCGTTACCTGTATAAAAGACACCTGGGAGCCAGAAATCTTTCTGATTGAGAGGGGGTCAAATACTTATTTCCCACATTAAAATGCAAATCAATTTATAACATTTTTGACATGCGTCTTTCTGGATTTTTTTGTTGTTATTCTGTCTCACTGTTCAAATAAACCTACCATTAAAATTATAGACTGATCATGTCTTTGTCAGTGGGCAAACGTACAAAATCATCAGGGGATCAAATACTTTTTTCCTTCACTGTAGGTATATTTATAAGTTATAGAAGTATAACTATGTCACCTACTCATTCAAGGGTTTTTCTATTTATTACATTGTAGAATAATAGTGACGACATCAAAACTATGAAATAACACATATGGAATCATGTAGTAACCGAAAAAGTGTTAAACAAATCAAAATATATTTATATTTGAGGTTCTTCAAATAGCCTCCCTTTGCCTTACAATAATATAGCACTATTTGGTAAAAGACCAAGTCCATATTATGGCAAAAACAGCTCAAATAAGCAAAGAGAAACAACTGTCCATCATTACTTTAAGACATGAAGGTCAGTCAATACGGAACATTTCAAAAACTTTGAAAATGTATTTAGGTGCAGTCGCAAAAACCATCAAGTGCTATGATGAAACTGGCTCTAATGAGGACCGCCACAGGAATGGAAGACCCAGAGTTACCTCTGCTGCAGAGGATAAGTTCATTAGAGTTACCAGCCTCAGAAATTGTAGCCCAAATAAATGCTTCACAAAGTTCAAGTCACAGACACATCTCAACATCAACTGTTCAGAGGGGACTGTGTGAATCAGGCCTTCATGATCCCATCTGGTTTGGGTTTAGTGGGACTATCATTTGTTTTTCAACAGGACAATGACCCAAAACACACCTCCAGGCTGTGTAAGGGCTATTTTACCAAGAAGGAGAGTGATGGAGTGCTGCATCAGATGACCTGGCCTCCACAATCCCCCGACCTCAACCCAATTGAGATGGTTTGGGATGAGTTGGACCGCAGAGTGAAGGAAAAACACCCAACAAGTGCTCAGCATATGAGGGAACTCCTTCAAGACTATTGGAAAAGCATTCCAGGTGAAGCTGGTTGAGAGAATGCCAAGTGTGTGCAAAGCTGTCATCAAGGCAAAGGGTGGCTACTTTGAAGAATCTCAAATATAAAATATATTTTGATTTGTTTGACTGGTACTGTATATATTTGATTTACTTTTACCCCTTTTTCTCCCCATTTGGTAGTTACAGTCTTGTCCCATTGCTGCAACTCCCCTACGGACTCGGGAGAGGCGAAGGTCGAGAGCCATGCGTCCTCCGAAACACGACCCTGCCAAGCCACACTGCTTCTTGACACACTGCTCTCTTAACCCGGAAGCCAGCCACATCAATGTGTCGGAGGAAACCCTGTTCAACTGGCGACCGAAGTCAGTGTGCATGCACCCTGCCCGCCACAAGGAGTCGCTAGTGCGCAATGGGACAAGGACATCCCGGCGGGCCAAACCCTCCCCTAACCCGGACGACGCTGGGCCAATTGTGCGCCGCCTCATGGGTCTCCCGGTCACGGCCGGCTCTGACACAGCCTGGGATCGAACCTGGGGCTGTAGTGACACCTCAAGCACTGATATGCAGTGCCTTAGACCGCTGCGCCACTCAGGAGGCTTGTGTCCCAAATGGCACCCTATTCCCTATGTAGTGCACTACTTTAGACCAGGGCACATATAGCTCTATATAGGGAATAGGGTGCCATTTGAGACTCAGCCTCGTCCTGCTCCCTGATCCTCTACTATGATGCTGCCAGGGAATGAAACATCAGCTCTCTCTCCTGGTGACCTTTTAATCCATCTCCTCCCTCTCTCTTCTCTCTCCCAGCCTCCCAGCACTGACACCTGCTCTGCATTCTAACCCAAAGTGAATCCAGAAACAAACACCATCCGGGCTGCTCTCCTCTGCTCTTGTCCTTCTAGACCTGTCTGCTGCCTTTGATACTGTGAACCATCAGATCCTCCTCTCCACCCTCTCCGAGCTGGGCATCTCCGGCGCGGCTCACTCCTGGATTGCGTCCTACCTGACCGGTCGCTCCTACCAAGTGGCGTGGCGAGAAGCTGTCTCCGCACCACGTGCTCTCACCACTGGTGTCCCCCAGGGCTCAGTTCTAGGCCCTCTCCTTTTCTCCCTATACACCAAGTCACTTGGCTCTGTCATATCCTCACATGGCCTCTCCTATCATTGCTACGCTGACGATACACAACTAATCTTCTCCTTTCCCCCTTCTGATAACCAGGTGGCGAATCGCATCTCTGCATGTCTGGCAGACATATCAGTATGGATGACGGATCACCACCTCAAGCTGAACCCTGGCAAGACGGAGCTGCTCTTCCTCCCGGGGAAGGACTGCCCGTTCCATGATCTCGCCATCACGGTTGACAACTCCGCTGTGTCCTCCTCCCAGAGTGCGAAGAGCCTAGGCGTGACCCTGGACAACACCCTGTCGTTCTCCGCCAACATCAAGGCGGTGACCCGCTCCTGCAGATTCATGCTCTACAACATTCGGAGAGTACGACCCTGCCTTACACAGGAAGCGGCACAGGTCCTAATCCAGGCACTTGTCATCTCCCGTCTGGACTACTGCAACTTGCTGTTGGCTGGCCTCCCTGCCTGTGCCATTAAACCCCTACAACTTATCCAGAATGCCTCAGCCCGTCTGGTGTTCAACCTTCCCAAGTTCTCTCACGTCACCCCCCTCCTCCGCACACTCCACTGGCTTCCAGTTGAAGCTCGCATCCGCTACAAGACCATGGTGCTTGCCTATGGAGCAGTGAGGGGAACGGCACCTCTGTACCTTCGGGCTCTGATCAGTCCCTACACCCAAACGAGGGCATTGCGTTCATCCACCTCTGGCCTGCTGGCTCCCCTTCCTCTGCGGAAGCATAGTTCCCGCTCAGCCCAGTCAAAACTGTTCGCTGCTCTGGCACCCCAATGGTGGAACAAGCTCCCTCACGACGCCAGGACAGCGGAGTCACTCACCACCTTCCGGAGACATTTGAAACCCCACCTCTTTAAGGAATACCTGGGATAGGATAAGGTAATCCTTCTACCCCCCCCCCAAATTGTAAAGTGGTTATCCCACTGGCTATAGGGTGAACGCACCAATTTGTGAGTCGCTCTGGCTAAGAGCGTCTGCTAGATGACGTTAATGTGCCCTTGAGCAAGGCACTTAACCCTAATTGCTCCTGTAAGTCGCTCTGGATAAGAGCGTCTGCTAAATGACTAAAATGTAATGTAAAATGGGCTGGGGCCGACCACCCAACCCTCTCCAGCCCTCCTCAGCCCTCCTCAGCCCTGTTCAGCCCTCCTCAGCCCTTTTTAAACCTGTTCAGTCATCCTCAGCCCTGTTCAGCCTTCCTCAGCCCTTTTCAGCCCTCCTCACCCCTGTTCAGCCCTCCTCAGTCCTGTTCAGCCTTTCTCAGCCCTGTTCAGCCCTCCTCAGCCCTGGTCAGCCCTCCTCAGCCCTGGTCAGCCCTCCTCAGCCCTGGTCAGCCCTCCTCAGACCTGTTCAGCCCTCATCAGCCCTTCTCAGCCCTGGTCAGCCCTCCTCAGCCCTGTTTAAACCTGTTCAGCCATCCTCAGCCCTGTTCAGCCTTCCTCAGCCCTGTTCAGCCCTCCTCACCCCTGTTCAGCCCTCCTCAGCCCTGTTTAGACCTGTTCAGCCATCCTCAGCCCTGTTCAGCCTTCCTCAGCCCTGTTCAGCCCTCCTCAGCCCTGTTCAGCCCTCCTCAGCCCTCCTCAGCCCTGATCAGTCATCCTCAGCCCTGTTTAGACCTGTTCAGCCCTCCTCAGCCCTGTTCAGCCATCCTCATCCCTCCTCAGCCCTGATCAGTCATCCTCAGCCCTGTTCAGCCCTCCTCAGCCCTGTTCAGCCATCCTCAGCCCTGTTCAGCCATCCTCAGCCCTGTTCAGACCTGTTCAGCCCTCCTCAGCCCTCCCCAGCCCTGTACACCATCGTCTTGTCTTGGCTGCAGTCTGCCAGCTTTAAACCATCTCTAGATTCTCCCTGGTCATGGTTTAATTTACAGCTATTCTCTCTCTCTCTCCTCTCCCTCTCTCGCTCTCTCTCTTTCTCTCTCTCTCTCGCTCTCTCTCTTTCTCTACCCCTTGCTCGCTCTCTCTCTCTCCCTCTCTCTCGCTCTCTCTCTCCCCATCTCTCTCGCTCTCGCTCTCTCTCTCCCCATCTCTCTCTCTCTTTCTCTCTCTCTCTCTCTCTCTTTCTCTACCCCTTGCTCGCTCTCTCTCCCCCCATCTCTCTCGCTCTCTCTCTCCCTGCCTCTCTCTCTCTCTCTCTCTGTCTCTCTCTCTCTCTCTCTCTCTCTCAATTCAATTCAATTCAATTCAAAGGGCATTATTGGCATGGAAAACATATGTTAACATTGCCAAAGCAAGTGAAATAGATCATAAACAAAAGTGAAATAAACAATAAAAAATGAACAGTTAACATTACACTCTCTCTCCCCCTTGCTGTCTCTCTCTCCCCATCACTATCTCTCTCTCTGTCTCTCTCTTTCCCCATCACTCTCTCCCCATCACTCTCTCCCCATCTCTCGCTCTCTCCCCCATCTCTCTCTTTCTCTCTCTATCATTCTATCCCCGACTCTCTCTTTCTCTCTCAGGCAGGCAGTGAGCCTAACAGAGAGTCTGCACCTGCAGAATGACTGCATGGACATGAGGTGCAGAGAATGTGCATTTTTTCTCTGTGACCTCATGTGTCTATGATTGTGATTGGAACCACACCTCCAATGATTTGTATTAATAGTAGAATTAGGAGAGAGCGAGCCTGTGTGGGCTGGCGGCGGGTCCCTTTGAACCAGTTAAACAGAGAACCAGACACAGACCCCTGCCTGTCCAGCTCTCCCTCTCTCTGAGGGGAGCCACCTACCTGCTGCTCCCACCCCGCTGAGGGGCTTGGTGGGTTATCCTGGGGAAGGAAGGCATGTGACTGTCCTGCTGACTGGATGGCATGCACACACACACACACACACGCACACACACACGCACACACACACACACACACCTGAAACCCTTCAGCAATATGACTAATCATATTCTGAGAATCCGGCCATAATAGGTGTCAAATGCCCTGCAGTAAAATCCTTCTGTTACTGTTACTGGTTAAATATGACACATCTGTTACTGGTTAAATATGACATATTTTGTTACTGGTTAAATATGACATCATCTATTACTGGTTAAATATGACATCATCTATTACTGGGAAAGACAGAACAAAAATGCTGCTCTATCATCACAGTCATCCAACGCTTTGGGAAAGGAAAACCTTCAAATAAATAACCAGGTTTCAAATGTAAAAGTTATTGCAAAAGATGTTGCTCTTGGTCTCTGTACAAAAAAGCGCACCAAGTTCACATGCAACTGCTGGACGCTCACCGAATCTGCTGTGGTCCTGTCTTGTCCCGTACACGGTCCCGTTGGGAAATATCTCCAGCTGGAAGCCGGTTCGACAGTACAGCTGCCTCCGCCGCAGAATCCCTTTAAGGTGCCCGAAATCCGTCAGCGAGCCCCGCTGTAACCTCCCCTCGATCTGTCCCAGCCTCTCATTCAGTAACCCCGCTGGCGCCTCTGCCAAGGGCATATTTCCTAGTGCGGGAAAACTCTGTAAATCCAAGTCGAGTGTCCCTAGAAAGCCCCCGAACCTCCGCCATGGCGCAGAACTGACGCGATCTGTTAATGCAATTAAAAATACCAGTTGAATCAGGGAAGTTTACAGTGCAACATATAAAGTAAAATCCCATGCGTAAAAAGCGGCGAAGGTATGCTACCCGGTGTAAAGCGTAAACCAGCCTTTGTGTGTGTCGCTCTGCCACTGTCTCGTCCTGCTGCAGCTGTAGGATCAATAGTCTTCTGAACTAACAACCCCAGCCAGCTATTCATCACTCGGCGCTCTGGGGCTTTCTGCTGATAAAACCACCACGGAACCAACAGCAGGAAACTCTGGTGATAGTTTGTGGTGCATTGAAATATGGAACAGATTCCGGAATGAAAGCCGCAATCATCATTAAAACACTGATGGAAGTTGACACAGAGCTGATAATCTACATGTTTCACTGCATCAGGCTACCAATGAGTCCGCCACGTTCACAATCCATCCATATAGAACACTTAAAATAACTCTTCAAAGTTTGGAGTCTTATCACTGTATCACTTCCTTCTAAAACGGCATGTGTTCTTCTCTTATCTTCCCTCGGAAGAAAGTCAAGAAGCCCCGTCCTTATGTCTTGTGCGGATTTCAAACAGAAAATATCCGTTCAACTAGGATCCATTTAATAACGGTGCAGCCAGTCAGTCATTCAGTCTGTCTTCAGGTCAGAGTGTTTGTTATTCGAGCCGCTGGGGTTTAGAACGGGAAGTTTGGATGAAAGCGTTTCTATCCACCTCCTTTTCCCCTCCCCTCCCTCTCTCTCTCTCTCTCTCTCTCTCTCTCTCTCTGTCTCTGTCTCTGTCTCTCTCTCTCTCTCTCTCTCTCTCTCTCTCTCTCTCTCTCTCTCTCTCTCTCTCTCTCTCTCTCTCTCTCTCTCTCTCTCTCTCTCTCTCTCTCTGTCTCTGTCTCTCTCTCTCTCTCTCTCTCTCTCTCTCTTCTGTCTGTCTGTCTGTCTGTCAGGGAGCAGGTGCTTCCTCATGCTCTCCCTGGGCGTCAGTGCACTGTTGCTCAAGATCAGCTGCTAGATACATACAGTGTAGAGCTGGAGTAGGTGATGGAAATGGAGATGGTGCTGCCTTACAAGAGGAGAAATTGGGTGGGGGAAAAAGTATCATCTTTGATGACATAAAAAAATGACATTTCATCGTGCCCACTCCCGTACCCTCCCGTACCCTCCCATACCCTCCCGTACCCTCCCGTACCCTCCCGTACCCTCCGATACCCTCCCGTACCCTCCGATACCCTCCCGTACCCTCCCGTACCCTCCCGTACCCTCCGATACCCTCCCGTACCCTCCCGTACCCTCCCGTACCCTCCCGTACCCTCCGATACCCTCCCGTACCCTCCCGTACCCTCCGATACCCTCCCGTACCCTCCGATACCCTCCCGTACCCTCCGGTACCCTATCATTCTGTCTCTCTCTGTGACTAACTTGTATCCAGGCAGACCAGAGAAGCCACATCCCTGATTGGCTGATGACCCTGATTAGAAGCACCTGCTGCTCATAGGTTGTTCTTTACAAATGCTGTTTTGAATTAAAATAAAATTGTACCTAGACACTGAAGAAAGCTGTAAAGCCAAAACGTCTGTGTACATTATCCCTGATGCAGTGAAAATAATTAAACAATTTGAATAATGAAGTAAGCTTTATGCGACATCTTTTTGAGTGCGAACAAACACCTTTTTGTTTGTCTGAATTTAGTTACGCCAAGCTTCTGGGATGGTTTTACGCCCCTGCAATGGTTCCCTTTTGACTCCAATGCTTCCCACAGTTGTGTCAAGTTGGCTGGATGTCCTTTGGGTGGTGGACCATTCTTGATACACACAGGAAACTGTTGCGTGAAAAACCCAGTAGCGTTGCAGTTCTTGACTCAAACCGGTGCGTCTGGCACCTACTACCATACCCTGTTCAAAGGCACTTAAATATTTTGTCTTGCCCATTCACCCTCTGAATGGCACACATACACAATCCATGTCTCAATTGTCTCAAGGCTTAAAAATAATTCTTTAACCTGCCTCCTCCGATTCATCTACACTGATTGAAGTGGATTTAACAATTTACATCAATAAGGGATCATAGCTTTCCCTTGAATTCACCTGGTCAGTCTATGTCATGGAAAGAGCAGATGTTCCTACTGTTTTGAACACCCAGTGTAGGTAGCCTTAGAAATAAGGTTCATGAAATCAATAACTTGCTAACATCAGATAACATTCATATACTGGCCATCTCTGAAACTCACTTAGATTATTTATTTGATGATACAGCAGTAGCAATATAAGAACATAACATCTACAGAAGAGAAAGGAATGACTATTGGGGGAGGTGTTGCGGTATATATTCAGAGCCATATTCCTATAAAGCTTAGGATCTCATGTCAAGTGTTATTGAAGTGTTGTGGTTGCAAGTTCACTTGCCTCATCTAAAGCCTCTTATTTTGGGGTGCTGCTATAGGCCACCAAGTGCTAACAGTCAGTATCTGGATAATATATGTGCAATGCTTGATAGTGTGTGTGATGTTAACAGAGAGGTCTACTTTCTGGGTGACCTGAACATTGACTTGTTATCAACTAGCTGTCCTCTGAAGAGGAAGCTTCTAACTGTGACTAATGGCTGTAACATAACCCAGGTTATCACTCAACCAACTAGAGTGTACAGTGGGGGAAAAAATTATTTAGTCAGCCACCAATTGTGCAAGTTCTCCCACTTAAAAAGATGAGAGAGGCCTGTAATTTTCATCATAGGTACACATCAACTATGAAAGACAAATTGAGAAAAAAAAATCCAGAAAATCACATTGTAGGATTTTTAATGAATTTATTTGCAAATTATGGGACTCTCATCTTTTTAAGTGGGAGAACTTGCACAATTGGTGGCTGACTAAATACTTTTTCCCCCCACTGTATATCAATAGTGTTGAATCTGTGACTTTCACTTGTATTGATCATATCTTCAATACCAGTTCCCATAGTGACCATAACATTTAGCTGACGCTCTTATCCAGAGCGACTTACCGTTTTTTTAGTGAGTGCATACATTTTTCATACTGGCCCCCCGTGGGAATCGAACCCACAACCCTGGCGTTGCAAGCGCCATGCTCTACCAACTGAGCTACACGGGACAATAAGAAGAATAAGAGGGAAATCTAAGAGCCAACAAGGGTTTTGGCACCAAGTACTAAGTCATGACCCCAAGAACACTATCCCCACCGTCAAACATTATGCTTTGGGGGTGTTTTTCTGCTAAGGGGACAGGACAACTTCACCGCATCAAAGGGACGATGGACGGGGCCATGTACGGTCAAATCTTGGGTGAGAACCTCCTTCCCTCAGCCAGGGCATTGAAAATGGGTTGTGGATGGGTATTCCAGCATGACAATGACCCAAAACACACAGCCAAGGCAACAAAGGAGTGGCTCAAGAAGAAGCACATTAAGGTCCTGGAGTGGCCTAGCCAGTCTCCAGACCTTATTCTCATAGAAAATCTGTGGAGGGAGCTGAAGGTTCGAGTTGCCAAACGTCAGCCTCGAAACCTTAATGACTTGGAGAAGATCTGCAAAGAGGAGTGTGACAAAATCCCTCCTGAGATGTGTGCAAACCTGGTGGCCAACTACAAGAAATGTCTGACCTCTGTGATTGCCAACAAGGGTTTTACCACCAAGTACTAAGTCATGTTTTGCAGAGGGGTCAAATACTTATTTCGCTCATTAAAATGCAAATCAATTTATAACATTTTTGACATGCGTTTTTCAGGATTTATTTGTTGTTATTGTGTCTCTTACTGTTCAAATAAACCTACCATTAAAAGTATAGACTGATCATGTCTTTGTCAGTGGGCAAACATACAAAATCAGCAGGGGATCAAATACTTTTTTCCCTCACTGTAATTCGTAAGAGATCACACAAAATGTTTTCTCAGGACTCTTTTTGTTGAAGGTGTAAAACAAAGCACTGACGTCTGTAGCCATGAAGTGCTTTGAAAGACTGGTCATGGCTCACATCAACAGCATAATCCCAGAAACCCTAGACCCACTCCAATTTGCATAGCGCCCCAACAGATCCACAGATGATGCAATCTCTATCACACTCCACACTGCCCTTTCCCACCTGGACAAGAGGAACACCTACGTGAGAATGCTATTCATTGACTACAGCTCAGCATTCAACACCATAGTGCCCTCTAAGCTCATCACTAAGCTAAGGATCCTGGGACTAAACACCTCCCTCTGCAACTGGATCCTGGACTTCCTGACGGGCCGCCCCCAGGTGGTAAGGGTAGGTAACAACACATCTGCCACACTGATCCTCAACATGGGGGCCCCTCAGGGGTGCGTGCTCAGTCCCCTCCTGTACTCTCTGTTCACCCATGACTGCATGGCCAGGCACGACTCCAACACCATCATTAAGTTTGCCGACGACACAACAGTGGTAGGCCTGATCACCGACAACGATGAGACAGCCTATAGGGAGGAGGTCAGAGATCTGGCCGTGTGGTGCCAGGACAACAACCTCTCCCTCAACGTGACCAAGACAAAGGAGATGATTGTGGACTACAGGAAAAAAAAGAGGACTGAGCACGCCCCCATTCTCATCGACGGGGCTGTAGTGGAACAGGTTGAGAGCTTCAAGTTCCTTGGTGTCCACATCACCAACAAACTATCATGGTCCAAACACACCAAGACAGTCGTGAAGAGGGCACGACAAAGCCTATTCCCCCTCAGGAGACTAAAAAGATTTGGCATGGGTCCTCAGATCCTCAAAAAATTCTACAGCTGCACCATCGAGAGCATCCTGACTGGTTGCATCACCGCCTGGTATGGCAACTGCTTGGCCTCCGACCGCAAGGCACTACAGAGGGTAGTGCGTACGGCCCAGTACATCACTGGGGCAAAGCTTCCTGCCATCCAGGACCTCTATACCAGGCGGTGTCAGAGGAA